TCCCTCAGTTCCTACAGAAGTCAGGTGAGCATCATCTGATCCTACTATTTGTTAGCACTTGCTTTATCAACTTGTTCCCTAAACAAACCAATGACAAATTGTGACTCTTGGAAAAGGTTCTCCGGTGTAAGACTCTTCCTCTTTTCTTTCATTGCAAATATAAAAACACAGAAATCAAGTGGCTTCCTTGCAGCTGACAAGCCCTCTCTGAGGACGGTGCTGACCGCCAGCAGGGCTGGCTGGCAGCGGCTAGGAATCTATGCCGAGATCCACCAGCAAAGCCCTCTGACGTGGGCCTAGCCAGAGAAGGTGGAGGGTGGGCTAGCTTGCCGCAGGTTGAGATCAATGCCATTTTCTCCTCCTGAGCAGATGTCCTTCAGCTTTCTCTCCTTTACCCAAGGAGCTATTCCACTTGTGTGGCTGTTCCCAGGCTGCAGGAGGGGGGGCAGAGCTGAAGCGAATGTACAGAAGCTGGCTGAAGCAGGGCAGGGAAATGGGACTGAAGGTCCTTGCAAGAAGCAACACCAGAGAGTAGGGAGAGAGGGCGCCCTGCTCACCTGAAGTCATGGCCTCCTCTTGGGACTGTGGAGAGTCTCAGCAGCAAAACCATCAGGAGCCGCATCTTAGCTCAGGACCTTCCTCTGCTTCTGTTCTCTTTTCCTCACTACTTAAACAATGTTCAGGCTGAAAAAACGGCCTTCGGGGAAGCATCATGATAGTATGAGGTTTCTGTTTGAAGGTGAATCAGTTTAGAGTTGCATACTTACATCTCAGTTTACACAGGCGTGAGTGGGAGGAAAGGAATAACAAACAAGGCTGCACTGGAGTCTGCTGGAGCACTTTGCTTTACTATCTATTTACTGACTGATTTTAGAGCAGAAGAGAAAGATTCTGGTCCCATGCTTACTCTAAGAAAAATCAGAGAGCGCTCTAATCAGAAAAACATTAAAGCTTTCTCAACTAAAAGACCATTTGCTTACTTTTCCAGAATTATGGCCCCCAACTCACCCACAAAGGTCTAATGTAATCCACTTGAGTTTCTCCCAGCTAATTCCAGCTGTGTACAGCAACACCAGTTAAAACCCTTTAAAGAAAATCTCAGGTACTTTTTCCTGTTCCTCTCTAGTTCCCATACCCAGCTGCACTTACGTACTAAGCTCCTGGGATAGCTTTAAACCTGAAAAGCACCTTGCAAATTGTAGGAACTTCTACAAAAAAGCATTTTTTTCCCACAGTTCAGAGGGTTTGATTTTTTTTTTTTCCAAATCTATATTAATCCAGATGTTCTCCTGTCAGCAGAGGGCAGCAAAGGACTTCCACTGTAAGGAGTATGCTCGCAAAGAGTAACAAAGAAAGTCTGCCTAAGTAATCTGGAAAGAAAAGCAGTGTAGGAGGGTAGTAGTGGTTTTACAGTTATTTAAAATTCATGAATTTGCTCTTTTGAAATTCATTAGATCCTGAAAAGTGCTGTACTCCCTTCTAGCTTGTCTTTGAGGAGCCTAGTTCTTTTCTGTGGTATAAGAGAAGGAAAAGCTTTAGTCAACACAGGCTTTAGCAGAAATGGAGTCATGATCTCTTCATAAAACAGTCTCATCAGCATAGTTCCTCTCTGATGTGCCATTTTATAATGACGGCCTCCTATTCCAACTTCAAGCTGTTGATTATTGCACTTAATCTGTTGTTAAATTTTCTATTACTCCTGAAGCACAAGCTCTGGGAAACATTTTTTCTTGGATAATAGAAGGAAAAACACATAATTCTTTGTCAGTAAACCATCTCTTTCTGTTGCTCAGAGGTTATATTGAAGGCAGAGTCTGTTGGCTACCAAAAAAATAGGTAGTCCTATTTGTTTTAATAAAAGTACCTATTAAGGAGATTTGAGCATAGTGAAGGTCTCAGTTGCCGAAAGGTGTCAGTTTGATTCAAAATGCCTGCGCTAACAGAGTTTGCAGAAATGAGCTGTATTTTATCCTGCTCTGTTAAAACACCCAAGATCCAAATAAACAGGAGAGTGGACTGCAAGACATGGAAGTCAGTGCCTTCTAACATGTTACCAAAGGAGGCTACTAAAATCCTGAAGTCACTGTAGAGTAATAGCACTGTTCAAAAGAGTCATAAAATTGCAACTTGTGAAGTCCACAGCATAGCTGTGACAAAACTCAAGGGCCAGACAACCTGGGCAGGCAAGTACAACGTACAAAACCTGATGGAAAACCTAACAGTTGCAGCGCACTGCGTGAGTCCAGGTAACTCTGCTGTATTATGTTGGCTTTAAAACATTGTTAGGGTATATTTGGAAAGATCCAGAGGCTCATTTGATTTGCAAGCTGCTTGGAGGGCAGTGTGTACACACAATGCTCAAATCTCATACCCTAGGTGACATGGAGGAACATGGGCCTTGCTGCTGCAGGTTCCCGCTCCATCCCACCCCCGGCAGCTTTCCGCGCTGCTGGCTCTTCCCTCCTGGCATGGGCAAGCCCCAGGGTCTTTCCCCAAGACGGAAGGCTGCACAGCAGAGAAAGCCCAGGCAAAGGAGAGCGCTCCTCTTGCAGTCGGGGTGGGAAGACCGATCTGTGCCTCACAGCTGCTGTGGGAACTCACGGTCATCGGCTGGGAAAGCCAAAACAGGGGTTTTCACATACAGGTCCCTGTGTCCTTTCGAGCTCTGCCACTGTGGAAGAGGAGAGCAGCAGTCTCTAGTGGGGGCAGAACAAGAAGAGGCACTGGAGATGCCACATTCACGTTGGGTTCAACTTACCTGCTAGCATCCGAACTGAGCTGCAAATTGGTTGTGCCCTAACTTGCTGCTTCTTCACAGCACTATCCTGTGACAGAGCTGTTAGGTCCAAGAGATGATTATCTCACTTAAAGGATTTTTCTCATGAGATTTCACTCTTTC